GGCTTTGTCAGCCTGGCACATGGAGCCCCAGCATCGTCCAGGCTCAGGTTTGTCAGCCCATCACATGGAACCATGACATGGTCCAGGCTCGGGTTTGTCAGCCTGGTACATGGAGCCCCGGCATGGTCCAGGCTTGGGTTTGTCAGCCCATCACATGGAACCATGACATGGTCCACGCTCAGGTTTGTCAGTCGGGCACACAGAGCCCCAGCACAGTCCAGTTTCGGGTTTGTCTGCCCAGCCCAGAATCCCAGCACCATCCAGGCTCAGGTTTGTGAGTCCGGCACACAGAGCCCCAGCGCAGTCCAGTCTCAGGTTTGTCAGTCTGGCACACAGAGTCCCAGCACGGTCCAGGCTCAGGTTTGTCAGCCCAGCACACTGAGCCCTGGCACGGTGCAGGATTGGGTTTGTCAGTCCGGCACACAGAGCCCCAGGATGCTCCAGGCCCGGGTTTGTCAGCCTGGCACACAGAGCCCCAGCACCATCCAGGCTCAGGTTTGTCAGTCCAGCACACAGAGCCCCAGCACAGTCCAGTCTCGGGTTTGTCAGCCTGGCACACAGAGCCCCAGCACCATCCAGGCTCAGGTTTATCAGCCCAGCCCAGAACCCCAGCACTGTCCAGGCTCGGATTTMTAAGCCTGGCCATTCCCTCCTTCCCGGTGGGCTGAGGCACACACGCTCCTCATCCCAGAGCCCCGAGCGCTCACCAGCCCCAGCCAAGCCCTAATCAGAACAAGAACCACTCACACTCCAATTACTCAGAGACCGCAGCTTTGGCAGCGTGCAGAATAGCAATTACCCCGTGCTCCAGGAAACCACAAGAGCAAAGAGGAATTAAGGTTTAATTTCTCTGAAGTCCACAAGAGCTCGATTAGCATCAGAGATCAGGGCAGCTCCTAAACACCAGGCAGCTGCTCTGGCTGATGGGATGGTGAGCTGTCCTTGGCTCAGACAAGGATGAGCTTTTCTCCCCCTGCCACGTGTCTGACATGGTTTGGGGGATGCCAGAGCTGAGCTGTGCAGGATGATGAGGGATAACAGCCCGAAGGCTGTCCGAACCTCAGCAGCATCCCAGAGAGCCCAGCAGGAAGCAAACCCCCYGGGACAGCAAGTTCAAGCTCTGTAGCTTTATTTTTGCATTTTAGGATCCCCAGAGAACAAGTCAGTGCCAGAATAATCAACTCCAAAACATTTTAAAATACCAGTTTGTTTATGATCATTCTCACAGTGAGAATTMTGGACAGGCTTAGGAAAAAAATGGCACTGGTGAAGCCTTGAGTGCTGTGTCCAGTTCTGGGCCTCTCATCCCAAGACAGTCATCAAGTCTAGAGTTAATAGATCTATAGTTTTTGTTTTTTTTCCTTAACACCATTTATTTTCCAACTTACTCCAAGGTACAGATTTAGTGCTTTCTCCGTGGCAAAGCAGCCTTTAGTGCTGCACAGACAGCAGACACAAAATGAACAGTTATTCTTGGATAATTTATTCAGAATTTTAATATAAACAGTTAATTGCTCAATATTCTGACACACAGCAAGAYTTTTTTTACTATTCAAAGATTTTCTGTACATTTCACTGCTTGGCTCTTAGATACGAAAACATTGAAAAAATAAATCAAGGGGGAGGGGTTTTCTATTTTTTTTTCTTCTTTTAAAAAAATCATGGCACATTTGATCCTTTATTTCAAACGAGAGGTATCTGCAGTACTATTGGTATTCTGGAACCTTAGATATGCAGAGGGAAAGATGGGAGCAGCAAGAATGAACTGGGGAAAAAAAATAAAAACCCCTAGACTTCACAGAACATCACTTAACATGTAACTTAAACTGTCTGTGGTTTATTTAAGTGAAGCAGAGAGCATTTGGGTTGTGTTGGATGAAGGTGATGTCCAGTTCCCCCGTCCATGAGGGTCCTCAAACACAAACCAGTTTTGATACTCCCAAGAACAAAATAATACCCCAAACTAAAGCAAAAGGTAATGCTTTTCCCACTTCAGCAACACTCTACCTTGCAAATTCAGAAGTGGCCTTACTAAAATTCTCCATCAGTTGTCACGGGACTCAGTTATGGGAAGTGGAGATGGTGGAAGCGTTGGAATGCTGCTGGGAGAGTCTGGATTGACAGAGCTTTGGTGTAGAGTCCAGCTCAGAGCTCTCAGGTAAGGAGTCCTCAGCCCAGGATTTCCTGGTGCTGCTGGGGCTGACCCCAGCCCCCATTTAACCTCCTCTGATGGCTCCTCTTTAGCTGCCAGGACCATTCCAGGTCCTCCCAGCCACCAGACCCTGTTCCCAAGGGACCTTTCTGGGCTGAGAAAACAAACTATTTAATACCACCAGCTGGAACACTGGAGTGGGAACAAAAGCCACCACCAGGAACAGAATTTCTGGCTGATTGCAAATCTGTTGGCAAAAAAATAACAACACCATAGGAGTTAATACTAACTTTATTATACAATATTTARAAAGTCATTTCTCTACCTGTCCCCTTACAGCTTGCATTGTGCTGCAGTGAATTTGCCCAAACTGCAAGAATAAGTGCTTCCTTCTGAGAAGGACAAGCAAATTAATTTTAAAAAGAAATACACATTTAATGACAGCAGATTCGCTAAAAACTGTATCTTTAGAGTTGCTTTTCAACAGTCAGGTTCCTGCAAAAGTCAACTTTTGGATGATTGGCTTCACTCTTGTGATGCTCCTAACRAGGCTGAACACGTCAAGGCCTTACACCAACACTCACGGACAGAACCCAAGCAGAGGGAACACAGAGCCAAGCAGAAGGTAATAAAAAGGCCAAATTCCATTAAGTTCATACAAATACCAAACTAATCTTATGTTGAGTTTCACAAAGTAACTATTTCTCGATTCCAACCCGTTCAGCAGTTCCTTTCCCTGGACCACAGGACACATCAAGGGGTGGTGACTCTTGCGGCAGGGCTGGGGTTCCCGCGAGGCCCCGGCTCCCAGAGGATCTTGGGGTTCATCCACGGTTCCGTGCTCCCTGCAGGCTCTGAGCCCACCCCACACGGATCACAGGAGCACCTGGCACAGCCTTGACAGGTAAGGTTTTATGGCACAAAGGTATTTTATGTTCTGGCTTGTACAACGAGGTTCCAGTCTTGATAGCAGGAGGGGCCTGGGACACCTCAAGGTCCGTCTTCGTGTCACAGTGGTGTTAAGAGGGAGCTCTGCCTCCCTCCCTCCTCTAAAGCAGAGGCTCAGCACCCTTCTTGCTCCTGTCATTTCCTATTTGCCTTCAGCACAGTCAGCTCAGTAACACAAGAAGTGACTTTGACTTTTTTTTTTTGTTTTTCCAAAGAGATACCAACACTATATGCAACAGACTAAAATGAAGCAAAGTGTCCCATTGCTATAATACAAATTTAGGAGGAAAGAGATAAAATACCCATAAATTAAAAGTACCCTTTAGCAACCTGAAAGCAGCCWCTTCATACCCACCCAGCTGCTTTACGATCATCGCTGCAGCGTGGTCTAGTTCCCATCACCTTTCCCAACCCAGTGCTGGCACAGAGTTTAAGTCTGAGCTCTTCTATTTTACAACACAATAGAGTATTTACAAGCAGCCAAGACAGACACGTTCCTAGCCCAGCAGCCAAGCTTTGCAGCRCTGCACTGGCACGCCAGAGAAGTTCCAGATTGGCAAGAGCCGTTCAGGAAGTGGCAATTGAGTTTAATGTGGAAACCTTTCTGAGAGAAACCTCTCCAGCCTCACACTTCAGACATTTTCTCACTGAAAGCTCAGCAGAGCTCAGCTTCTTGTTCCTCCCAATTCACCAGAGTGRATTTCTGGCTAGGTGGTGGTGCCAGAGTGTGCCCAGCAGGCTCCAGCTGCTCCTGGCCAGGCTGAAGGGTCTGTCCTGCTGTCCCGTGCTGTAGCAGGGCATTCTCTGTGAGCCAACCCTCCAACAAACACTAATGCAAGGAAAGAAAGAGCTTCCCACTGCTGGCTGCCCTCCTCCAGCCATCCCACCTGCTCTCCTGCACCAGCCTTGGGCTCCTCCTGAGCAGCAGCAGCAGCAGCAGCAGCAGCAGCAGCAGTGAGTGTTGTGCTTCCACTGCAGCTGGGAATTCTGCCCCATAAGGATGTGGCTGGAGCAAAGAGCAGCAGCTCCCCTGAGGAAGGCTCAGCACAGCTCCCTGCCCAGGCTGGGGTCCCTGGCTGCACCCCAGAGGTTTCACCAGCACTTGAGGCTCCACTTGTGCACAACCCTCGTGTCTCTGAGCAGGAATCAGCGAGATCCGAGCGAGGCATTTGAGCATCCCCGGGGCGAGGATCTTCCAGCAGGAGAGACCAAAGTGTCAGTTGTGAGCCAAGGAAAGGATTTCCAGCAGTGGGAGCTGAGCTTTGCGGCTGATGTTCATTTATTCTTCCTAATTCTACAGCTGAGTGTGATCTGTAACAGCCATGAGCAGCAACCACCAGTGTTATTTGTGTTAGAGGAGAAGCACCATCCCCTCTGCACTGGTGCCACACGCTGTCCTCACCCTGGCACAAGGTGGGAAGGATGTGAGTGATGCTCACACAGTGCTGGGCACACACAGCTGCTCCATTGGGTGCAGAGTGGAGGTGACACAATGAGCCATGGGGATGGGCTGCCAGGCCATGGAGCAGCACAGGCTCCTGGCTGGGCCATCCCAGTGTCACAAACCATGTGTACTCACAGGGCCAAGCAGTATCAGCCACCACCCAATACGAGGTTCCAATGCTCCTTCAGCTGAAAGATCTTCCATTCCCACACTTATGGTCACTGCCACATGTTACCAAAGGGCGTGCTGGGAAAGCTTTGTTTCAGGRGGTCACTGGCAGGACCTTGGGCCACCTGTGCACAGCGAGAGGAGSAGTGACTGGGACACCCCAATCCAACCCCCACAGCAAGGGCTGGTCCCAGTCCCTGCTCCACGCTGGCACATGCTGCTCCAGGAGGAAGCAGCCTGCTCCTTTTAGGTCATGAGTTCACTAAAGTCCAAACATTTAAATGGCTCTTTTGTTCTTTTTTTTTTTTTCTTTTTTTTTTTTTTTTTTTTTTTTTTTTTTTTTTTTTTTTTTTTTTCCTAAATCACAACAGAACTAAGGGATGAGATCAGATCCAAATTTGTAAATGGGTTCATTGGCCACTACTGTTCAGATTAGGGATCAACAGTGACGAGCCATTCTCCTTCCCATTCCCTTCATGAATGGTCCCTGGTATTGGAATCAGCTGATACTGATTTTCCCTGATCCACAATAGGTCCAGACCAGAATATTTAAACAGGTTTAGAGGTGCGTTGTATTAAAAAATATCCTTAAGAAACACTGAGGTAGACTGCACCAGAACAGGACAAAAATAATCCCACCACATCCACCTGCCAAGATTTTACGGATACAAATTTACACGTTCTGTGTGTTTAAGAAAACAAATTGTTTGTTGCTTTTTTTTACAGTGTTTTATATATTAAAATAAATAAAAAAATTCTAATAAGAAAAGCTTCTCTTCCTTAGAAAAGTGTGAGAATATGTCTTCTTTCCTGCAGTGTAGTATAGAGCTGCTAAACAGTTACGACCTTGTAAAGCAGAAGAAATGTAAACGAGGCCTTTTGAAATCCAAAGGTTCTCTCTCACCCATGTCTGGACTGTGTTTTCCACCCAAATTTGTGGAGCAGCCTGTACCCTCCACTGGGGCTGAACCCCCAGCCTCCAGCAGCAAAGGGCCCCACAGCTCCTGGCGCTGCCCAGAGTCCGCTGTGCCCCCTTGGATGGCTCTGAAGTGCTGTTTTGGCCAGAAGCAGCTGRGGGAAGAGGTTCCAGAAGCAGCTGCAGCCACGGGTGTGGGCTGGGAGAGCTCTTCCCACGGGCTCTGGCCCCTCTCCTTCGCTCACAGCAGCAGCGCTGCCCGCGCTGGAACCACGGAGCAGCTCTGCGTTCCTGCTCTCCTGAGCCAGGGCACCTCTGCTCCTGGCAGAGAGCACTGAACAGATCGTGGACCTCTCCAGGAGGACAAGTGGAGGACTGAGCATCTCTGCCCTGCTTTTCCAGCACCTCCTGCATGACACAGGCTTGACATCCATCATCTTCCTCTCCCGCTCGCGCCAGCTCGCTCCCTCCACGCGACCACCCCTGGTTGAGTTTCACCATTATCCTCCAACATCAGGTGCCCATCAGCTCCACCTCTGCAAGCAGCAAAACAACCAAGCACGGTGCTGACGGCGAGAGCTGACACCCCGACTGTGCTGGGAATTCTTTCACTGGAATCCTGGGGGATGCAGGGCTGGATGTGGCAGCGGCGAGCAGGCAGTGAGCTACGCTCCCTTCCTCTGCTCCAGCTGTGCTTGTCCTCTCTCAGCAGCTGCGGCACCGAAGGCAAATCCAGGGGCATGGGGGCGAAGGAGGAGCAGGACTGGAGGCTGGGATCTGTGTCCTTCAGCTCCAAAAGATGGGGCTTGGACTGGAGCCAGCTGACCGTGTTGTATAAATGGTGAAACTGTCACAAAGCCTTGTCAAGTATCAACTGAACTGTGCTTCATCGCTCCTGCAAGGCTCAAGTTCGTTCATTCTGAAATCTTTGGACCACTTTAAGACCAAACAATCCCCCAAAACTCTCCCCGCCCCAAAAGGATCATGAACAGTCAATAATTTATATGAAGTTAAAATTTAAACTAAAGACATCTTTAAATATGTTACAACAAACAATATATATACTCAATGCTGTAGGGACAGAAAAYTCTGTGTCTCAGGTCAGGGGACTCCTACTTCGTTTGGTCTTAAAAGTACCCACAAATCTCAGATTTTCTGCTCATTTCGCTCCCGGCACGTTTTCCTCATTTGTTAATGAGAGAAAACCTGCTCCCAAGAGTCCTCAGTATAAAAATAATCTGTTTAGGATTCAGTCCCTCCAGGGAAACTGGGGAAAAAAGATAAGTACACACTTCCAAGAAGAGGAAAGCTCCTGTGAGAACATAGAATCATAGAATATGCTGAGTTGGAAGGGACCYCCTGCGCAGGAGGRTCCCACCATGTGCCTGGGAGCRCTGTAAGTTGTGTASAAACCCAGAAATGTCTCGTTTGCTGTGGGTTACACCCCACGTGTTGATACTGCACACACGCACACACACGCCCACGCACGCACCCCTGGGGTTTCACCCCTCGAAAAACAAAAAGTATGAAAGCAGCAGCTATTGGTCAATGTGAGGATCTGGCGCGTCCGACTGATGTGGTGAATCCTTCAGCTGTGGTGGAGAGCCTGCCTGAAAGCCTGGAATTCTACTGGAAATGCTCTTGTTCCGCAGCTCAGACACTAGAGGACTTTGAGTCTTCTGCTGGCAAACGCGGATGCTTCTCCTTCAGTTGAACTCACACGGTCGCTTCCTGTTGTGAAACCATGGTTACAGCAGGGACAGCAGCCATGGAAACCTCTTCCATTTATGTTCACAGATAAGTCCACTGACAACCAGTCAACTTGGCAAAAAAAAAAAAAAAAAAAAAATTAATCGTAAGATGATTAAAAATCTGACGAGTTTGTAGATGTGTGTCATACACTGTGGCAGCAATAACAAGAGTCCTGAGATTTGTGGAGGGGGGAAAAAAGCAGACACAACCCTTGGGCTGAACAGGAAGTGTTAGGAAGGACTTGACCTGGGCATGGAGAGAATCCGCCCGTTTTTCTTGCCACCGTTCATGTGAGTGTAGGGGATGTGCTCCTCGTAGTTGCCCTTGAGGGCCATGGAGGGGCCATTGTCCCTCCCCAGCGCTTTGTCCCTCTGTGAGTACGAGGAGGGGTCCAGGGGAATGCTCTCCATGTTCTCGAAGTCCATCTCGTACTCCTCGGTCTCCAGAGGTTTGTTCTCCTCGCTGTAGAAGAAGGAGACCTCGTGGAAGCTGGGGTGCAAGTCCTCCTTCAGCATCTCGATGATCTCGATGAAGGTGGGGCGCATCTTGGGGTTGTACTGCCAGCACATCTGCATCAGGCTGTGCCTGGGCAGGGACAGAGCACAGTCAGGGCAAGGAGAGACAATTCCAYGTGCAGACCAAGGCTGGCACCCCTGGCACACCCCCACCACCCACACCACACCCCTGACACCGTGGCTCATTTGTTCTCTTTCCAGCCTCCACATCTGCCCGCAGATCCWGACACCCCTTTTTCTCTATTTCTGTCTAAGATGAAAAATTCCTTCCAATTCCTTCAATTGTTCTTAACTTGGCTCCCAAAGGAAACAGGGCTGTGGTTCACAGACTGTGTGTGTGTGTGCACACGCACTCACAGCCAGGTCATCGCTTTTTAATTAATTCCCTTTTAATTTTAACTCGGCCTGAATGATAACAAAGCTCCCAAAACTTCAAGGAAAATGGGAGGCTGGGCAGAGGACAGAGGTCCTGTAAACATCCCACCCAAARGAAAGGCTGCAGCAAGAGGTCACATGTTATCGGACACCATGGGGAAAGAACTCACAAACACAAATAGAGTCTCACACTGGAGTTTGTAACTGGCCATCGGACAAATGTCCAGCACAGCAGGCTTTCTTCATAGGGATACTCACAAAACATGTTTATTTTATGAYCCTGAAAGTGCTGTTTTGGCCAGAAGCAGCTGGGGGAAGAGGCTACCAGAACCAGAGAGTTCCCATCTGTGCTCCTTTTCCAGCCAGAGCTCCTTTCCCTCGCTCCAGTGTGACTCCTCACACAGAATCCCAGGATCGTGGAGGTTGGAAAAGACCTCCCAGGATCACTGAGCCCAACCTTCGACCAATCCCCACTTTGTCCCCAGCCCAGAGCACCGAGTGCCCCATCCTGTCATTCCTTGRACACCTCCAGGGATGGGGACYCCAARCCTCCCCAGGCAGCCCCTTCCCTGGGTTACCAAGGTGGAAYTGCTGTGGGAGTTGCCTCACTAAAGCCTGCTTTGCTCTTCCCCAATCTAGGAGAGGTTCAGAGGTGCCATAACCGATTTTGCTGGCTACACCTGAAGCACAGAGTGCAGCTGGCTGGCTGTCCCTGCTCCCCACTTACAGCCTCTCAGGGCAGTTGTCCGGCTGATCCAGGTATCCTCCATCCATGACAAACTTTAGCACCTGTTCATTGGAGAGTCCCTGGTACGGCTGCTCCGCCAAGCTGCTGATTTCCCAAAGGACAACACCAAATGACCTAAGGGAGAGAGAAGACTCCTGGTGAGAACAAAAACATCCTGGAGCCCTCCCAGCGACGGGGTTATTTTGGAAAACACACACTTCAAAAGGACACGGCTGGATTTTGATGGAAGCRTTTCAAAACAACGGCTTTGTTTTGTCTGGGCTCTCAACAAGCCAGTTTAAACTATGTGTGCTAAAACAAGGAGCTCCTGAGCTGGAATCCATCTGGGACTGCAGWGTGTAACTCACCACACGTCGGAATAGGTGGTGAAGACGCCGTCCTTGAGCGACTCCGGGGCCATCCAGCGCACGGGCAGCAGCCCCTTGCCCCCTTTGCGGTAATAATCCGTCTCGTAGATATCCCTGGTCATCCCAAAGTCTGAGAAAAGCAATTGGGATGTGTTAGATGCCTCTCCCTCCATCCTGCTTCTCCCGTGCAGCATCTCCAGATGGATGTTGCCTTCTCTCCACTGCCAAAGCCCAGCCCACAGTCATCTGTCAGCTCGTGATTAACGTTCAAAACATTTCCTTTTTCCTGCATTTTTTCTCCAGAGCCACAACAGAGACTCCAGAGTTAATTTTTTTGGTGACAGCTTCTATTCTAAACACTATTTTATTCATCCTCTGTAAGTAAAACAGAGCTCCCTTTGCCTGAAATCCCACTGCCTTGGCTTTAACTCCAGATAGCTCTGAAAAATCACCRCACTGTGGGGTTTCAGGTTATTTTTAAAATGTTGCATTGACTTATTTCTAAAAGGGTTTGGGTTAAAAACTGCGTTAAATTRCTTTTAAAACCCCCCTGACCCAACAACAGGATTATCAACACTGGGTTTGTTGTACCCAACACCTTCTTTACCATAATTCTCATGGAAGCAAAGACCAGTGAGACAAAACCAAGTAGTTTAGGCTGGAAAGGCAATAAACTTTGAGGATAGAGGTTTGGAATTGAGCAGGTGAGAAAAACTGCTCTGGTTTTAGAGGAGATGTTGTGCCTACTGAAGTCCACACAGTTCTGTCACAGAGCAGAAACAGAGGCAAGTGYTGCCATTTTCCCAAGGCAGACAGTGAGTTTGACATATTGATTTCACCTCTGTGCCTTTACAACAAATGATGCATGGAATCATCTCTGACCACAGAATGGCCTGGGCTGGAAGGYCTCTCAGGGATTATTTTCTCCCATTTTTCACCCACCCCCGATTTTCACGGTGAAGTCCTCTGCCACCATGCAGTTCCGAGCYGCCAGGTCCCTGTGCACGAATTTCTTGGCGTTCAGGTAGGCCATGCCATCGGCGATCTCCGCCGCCATCTGGATCATCTCCCGCAGCGTGGGCGGCGGCCGCCCGGGGTTGTTCTGCAGAGAGAAACCACRCAGGCATGGAATGGTTCAGGCTGGAAGTGACCACGGGCAGCAGCACCTTCAAACCCAGCCTTGGGCACTTCCAGGGATGGAGCAGCCCCAGCTCCTCTGGGCACCCTGTGCCAACACCTCCCCACCCTCACAGGGAAGGATTTCTTCCCAAAATCCAATCAAATCCACCCTCTTTCAGCTTCAAACAATGAAATAAAGCAGTCTTTTACCCCAGATCAAGTCACTCAACAACCTCTCTCCTGTTTTTACCTCAGCTTCAGGTCTCAAAGAGCGGAGRTAACTTTTCAGATCCCCGTGTGCCATCAGCTCCATGACCACCAGAGTSGGCTGTCCCTTGGAGACCACCCCGAGGAGGCGAACCTGGAAAAGGAGGGAGAAATGAGAAATGCCCTCCAGGCTGTGTCCAAACAGAGAGGGCAGAGCCAGCACCCCCTGAAACAGATCTGAGAACGGCCCCACAGAGCCTTGTCAGGGTGAGAGGTTCAGGAAGAGCAGCAGTGGAACGACTCGGGCAGAGCGGGGTCTGTCAATGATTCGGGCAGAGCAGGGTCTGGGAATGAATCGGGCAGAGCGGGGTCTGGGAATGACTCGGGCAGAGCGGGGTCTGGGAATGATTGGGCAGAGCGGGGTCTGTGAACGATTTGGGCAGAGCAGGGTCTGGGAATGACTCGGGCAGAGCGGGGTCTATGAATGATTCGGGCAGAGCGGGGTCTGTGAATGATTGGGCAGAGTGGGGTCTATGAATGATTCGGGCAGAGCAGGGTCTGGGAATGACTGGGACAGAGCGGGGTCTGTGAATGACTCAGGCAGAGCGGGGTCTGTGAATGACTGGGGCACAGTGGGGTCTGGGAATGACTCGGGCAGAGCGGGGTCTGTGAATGATTTGGGCAGAGCGGGGTCTGTGAATGATTTGGGCAGAGCGGGGTCTGTGAATGATTTGGGCACAGCGGTGTCAGTGAATCCGGCGTGGGGAGATCCCAGCTCCGACAGTCCAGCTGCTTCTGAGGCACCGAGGGGCTGAGCTGTGAGCTGAGGCACCCAGCACTTACCACATGATGGCAGCTGAAGCCTTTCATCACNGCTGAGCTGTGAGCTGAGGCACCCAGCACTTACCACATGATGGCAGCTGAAGCCTTTCATCACYGAGGCCTCGTTGAGGAACTCGATGCGCTCTCGCAGGCTGGCAGACTCGTTCACCGTCTTCACGGCCACGCGCGTCTCGGGCTCGCCCTTGACGATGTCCTTGGCGATGCCCTCGTACACCATCCCGAAGGAGCCCTGCCCCAGCTCCCTCAGCAGCGTGATCTTGTCCCGTGGCACCTCCCATTCGTCAGGGACATAAACTGTGRGCAGARGGRAACAGYTCTGAACTGAACTGTACRAATGGTGAAACTCYTACAAAGCCTTSTCAAGTATCAACTGATCTGTGCTTCATCGCTCCTGCAAGGCTCAAGTTAGTTTGTTCYGAAATCTTTGGACCACTTTAAGGCCAAACAATCCCCCAAAACTCTCCCCACCCTMAAAGGGACCATGAACAATCATTAATTTATATGAATTTATATAAAGCACCTTTTCAGAGATGTTCCTGCGCTGCCACGGGACCCCCAGGGTATAAATTCCACAAAAGGACTGGAAAACCCCACAAAGATAATTCCAACCCCATCCTGCTGCACTGATTGAAATAAGAAATTCATAAGAAATGCACAAAAAAGAGTCCTGGTTGCTCTCACCATCACTGGCACTGATGTACTCGGGGTTGGAGGATGCGTACAGGGGTCCCGTTGGTCCTTCSGTTTGTCTGGAAAAAACACAAATCCCTCAGTGCTCCACAGCTTTTGAGGTGAGGGCAGTTTGATCAACMCCCAAGGCATGCAAGTCTGTCCCCCAAGACCCCCAAATCTGTCCCCATAAGGCACAGACTATTCCCTCCACTTAAATCAACACTGCAATCGTAGTGGAAATCAGGAATGAAACAAAAAACCGACTCCCAACAAAGCAACAGAACTTTTGGATGGAAGGTTTGGATGTAATTTTGGGATGGAAGATTCTGGTGGAAGCAAGATAAAATTGCACTCACCTCTTTTTCACAAGGACATAAGTAGCTCCAATAATTCCAGCAATTATTATGGCAAAAATAATGGGAACGATGATAACAGCAATATTTGGCTGAGCATTCACTAGGGAAAAAAGAAAGAGTTGGAGGTATTAGACAGGTCCAAAACCCAAAGTTTTTCCTCAATAMAATCTCCCCCTTGAATAAATTGAAACAAATACAGAACTAGAGGCTTTTTCAGAAACAGAATGTGGGCATGGTCAGAATGAGGACTCGTAAAGAAAAGCCACGTGTTTCCAAAAGATTTCAAATTCTTGAGAGCAGCTGTGTTGGGTAAATATTTAATGACTCCCCGTGGCTCTCAGTGCATTGTTTGCTGCACTCCATCCTCCAAAACTAACCAGAAGTACTATCAGGGATTAAATAAATAAAATAAAAATTTTAAAAAATAAAAGAATTAAATAAAAAATAAATAAATAAAATTTTAAAAACTAAACTGGATGTTAAAAAATAAAGTAA